ACTACGACTACTACTTCTACTACTACTACTACTACTACTACTACTACTACTAACTGCTACTACTACTACTACTACTACTACTACTACTACTACTACTACCAGGTAGTAGGTAGTAGGTAGTAAGGGCTAGCAGTAGCACCTGTAGCAGTTGTCGACGTCGTAGTAGTCGGAAGTAGATAGCAGGTAGTATGGAGTGCGCAGTACACAATACTGCGAGTACGCAGTAACGGTGCAGCTTTGGAGCATGATCTCATCGCAGAGCTTCACGTCCGTCGGCCTTAAGGACGCAGCTCGTGGCCCATGGCTTTGCAACATTGCGAGCTGCCCCCAGGTCCCCTTCCAGCCCGCCTTCGGTATTTCTCTGGAAGGTTCTTGTTCATGTCGACAAACATTTGCTGAAGCCCGTGCTTTTCAATGACCCCGACCTTACGAGTGACCAGAGCTCTTGCGCAGCTGAGCTTGCACACGCCTCTCAATTCGAGGCACCGTGTCCACCCGAAGCTGCTTTACCCTGCCAATGGCGAAATTGAAGATGAAGCGGTGAATCAGCCGTGGGAGGACGAAGAATCTGAGCACGCCGGCGCTTAGAGAGGGTCGAGCAAAGCTTCTGCTAGGACGGTGCAGGAACGTCCTATGCCCTAGCAGAAAAGGATTCGGCACGTCATCTATGCCGGATGCAACAGCTTCAGCTGCAGAGGGTGCTTTTGGCCAGGTCACACAGCATAGTCTCGCCACTTGCGGAGGATCAGTGCATCGTTGTCCTCGAGCCAAATACCAAAGATCATGAAGAAGACGCACTTCACGACCTCAACCACAGAGCAGAGTGCTGCGTTTGTAACATCTCACCTGCACTGCCAACCGCCAAGCAGCCATAAGTCGCAACTTTTCCGTATCATCGAAATCCTGATATCAGCAGCTTCGGGCTTGATCATATCGCTTGAGGATCTGCTGAACTGACCATGAACTGTGCTCAGCTACCACACTACAAGTCGCTGCTTCAAAGCTACCCAAAGAAGTGGAACCCAGGGAAGTCGAACTCTCAGGCGATTTCTGGAAGTGAACTTCCGAAGCTGAGGCGGGGTCCGTGAGTTTTGCCTCTGGCCACTCGGCAGCTAACTGCGAGCTCAGCTTTTGCAGGCGCTCTGTGTAATGGTAAGCACCTGCTCGTCGCGAGTGCTGCCCTACAATTACAAACCTGCTAAAACGGCCGACAGACAACTCTTGGATGCTTTTCCACAATCCCGATCTAGCTACAGTCACGCTCGCCCACTTCACCTTCAGAGCACAACGACTTTCAGCACAAGTCAAAAGAAGCCGCGCTGGATCCCTGGAAACTCCAAGGTGCCTCGGTCCAACATCGCCGCGTGCAGCACTTTGCGGATCGCTGCCCACTCGCTCTCAGGGCCACCCGTGGGCAGGAAGAGCAGAATATTGGAAGCCTCAAGACACCCAGTGAGACAGAGACGCGGAGTTGCTTTCTCGACTGTCTGACCCCATTGAGCCAGGCGCAAAGAGGTCAGGAACACAGGCCTTGTGAAGAGGTTCAGCACATGCGCCCCCAGGCATCCCGCCCCTGCGTGCCTCGATGCATGCAAAAGCTGACCGTCTCTTCTGTTGGGACTTCGTGATGGTGCTGCATTCCTGCACCCGGACAGAACAGATCAGAACAGATCAGAACAGCACGAGCGATCCAAACCTCCCATGCAGCACTCCTCGTAGGTGACTGACCAGTATCCTTCCCCATGCCAGTAGTGGTCTCCTTTTCCAAACGCCTGGCGCTATGTTCACATGTGTCTGCACTACATTGGGCAGGAGCTTGCATGCGCTTGAAATTCAGGGCTTGCAGTCCCAATCTCTCGGGCGCAGGGTTTCATCTTTTGCCAATCCACACTGGCAGTCCACACTGGCAGCTGTGGCACTTTCAGACCGCCTCCCACTCCCATATGAACAAAGCCAGACGACTCCTGCACGAGCGAGAATACACATCGCACCTGCTCAGCACACCTCTTCGGAGCCTGGAATTTGCCAAGAGCGCGATGAAGCCCCCCAATACCTGGACAACTCTACCCACTCATTTCGGAACAGTAAGCATACACACTTATGTACGGGTGTCAGGCCGAGTTGCATACCTCCACCACGAAGGTGCCAGGATGCAAGGACGGCCACACTTTACAGAGGCCATGGCCGCACAGCAGATCCAGCCCCTTGCGAGACGTCAGGCTTATGTTGTTAGAATCCCGGAATGGCTAAGATGCTAAGAGACCGGGCAGTCCCCAGAACAAAGCCACACGAAGGCAATTAGAAAAGATCCTGCCCAGGTGCGGAATGCATCGGCAGCAGTAACAGCCAAGCACGAAGAAAGCCATGGCAAACCTGCACCCAGAAGGCAGCATTTGCCCAAGCTGGAACGGTCGGAAGAATAGAAGCAGCTGGAACATGCTGGAACCCACCAGTCTGCTGATGCTTCTCGGTCCGCGAAGAGCGAAGGTCTTTCTGGATTCGGGAAGGTGCTGAACAGATGCAGCAGTTCAGACTTCTTTGCAATACACACTGCAAAGTATGTCCAACACCGTCACGTGTCCGCCTGCAAAGCCCACCGATGCAGCCCTGAATAAGATTGAGTGGCAGCGTCAGCCACATGCACAGCACCTCAGACCGAACAGAAAAGGCGGAAGAAGATGTGTCTTATTTCGTCCGGAATTGTTCCGAGGGATGCAGCAATAAGGGTCTTGTTGAAAGTGGCAAGTCTCAGGAAGTGTCGGGTCTCGGGAACAGCACGAGGAAATCAGGTCGCTCTGCGCATGGGTACATGACGAGTCTTAATGTTACACCACGGAGCCGACGGCCACGTGGCATCGCCTGCCACATTCTCCACAGGGGCATTCACCACCTGCACTCCACCAAAATACACAGCGTGTCAACTCGGATCGTCCCCCCATATTAGGAGCTGCGAGCTCACAGACTCTCTGCACAGGACCATGACTCTTGTGAGCCTCCTCGATTGAACCCCAGCTCTCGGTCTGCATGAGGGCTGCCTCAGCAGAATCCGAACCTCAGCTTCTGGGTGGGTAGGATCTCCGGCACACCAAATGCAGCCGGTGGCACTGTACCATGCTGCGCTAAGGGCCGCGCCCCTTGACATCCAGCAAGTGCGGTATGGCTAGTGTGTGCTACCAGGTTGGTCATTCGATGGAGCCAAGTGCTACAGACCCAGTCATCAACATTCCATGCACAGAACGAATGTGCAGTCGACAGCAAGTGGCGAATACAGCTGCGCGGCAAAGACGATTGGTCCCTGGCTCTCTGCGCAATCGTTCCAAGGCCTTTTCTTTGTCGCGCTGCATCTGCAACCTTTTTGCCGGGTCGTTGTTTGCACAAGGGCTGCAACAGGGCAGGAGGTACAATCGCGCCTGGACAGGCCGATCGCTTTGACGGCGAAAATCTGGTCGTCTCTCCGGCACTTGTAGACCTTCAAGCTAGATTCTACTGACCGACACTGGGTGGTTGAGGTAGGGTCCACCACACACTCTCCCCAGTCCCGAGGCCAGTGCAGTGGCCGTCATCCCATGACCAAGCTCTTTGAGGATGGTGTAGGGATCTGGGGCTTCCGTCCACCGAGCTCCGTCGCTCCAAAAGACTCGACACTGCAACGCTCGCTTGGACACCGGCTGTCTGGGTCACCAAAGCTATGCAGCCTTAGCTTTCCACGAATGCATGCAGCGCAACCCCAGCTGCCACACAACACAACAGGTTTCAAGATGAGTTGGGTGCTCTCCTCGCTTGCTGCTGCATGAAGACCTGAATCATCCAGATTCCAATCAGCTGTCATCTACGTCCTCGACTTTTGCACTCGTGGTTGATACACTGAGCTGCTTGCATGACAAAGGGGCGCTCTGCCTGCAATCTTTGCTACAGGCATCATGGTCATATTTATACCGACCCTGGCCTCCGGTGAAGTCGTCAAATCGCCAGGGACCTCGAGCACAATTAGGGCTGTAAAATCTTCGTGATTCCGAACAGCGGCGCAGTTTCCTCAAGCTGGGGCTGGATTACCAAGGCCCATGAGGTCCACACCCGGAAGGGAAACGCAAAGCATAGCTTTGGCTCGATGCAGCCGACGAAAAGAAACAGCAAGATTCAGATAGGAAGATAAGCCAGCCTAGCCACCAAAAGACCAGGGACGGGGGGGGGGGGCAATGTGGTAAGATTAGATGCCCAAAGGATCCTCTAGCTACTCAGAGGGCCACGCCCAGTGGCGCTGAGACTCCTCTGCCTCCTGGACAACTTCGTTTGTGGTGTGGTTGACTGCTGGCAGAAGGACACACATTGCCAGTAGCCCTCTTCCAAAATTCTGGTAGGCCAGATCCGGTATCATGCACAAGCTCGTCACAGTCCTCCTCCGCATCTGCGCGGTCTCGCGCTAGAGGCCTGGGAATGTCCACCATCGGGAGGAGATTGCATGTGCGAACACAAACATGAGTTATTAGCTGTCAAGGTCGTGAAATCTATGACTTGCGCAGCTTCTGAAAAAGGTTGCAATTCTTTCAAAACCTGGAAGAAGGACTGGGAAACAAGGCCCCAACAGCATTACGATCATGTTCTTGGTTGGTGTTGCAGACGCCGATGCAGGGTTCCACTTGCTTGAGAGACATCTGGATACATGTAGATATCTGGCAAACGGTATACAGATACGCATCGACATGCAGGTATACCTTACCTGACAGTACCTGACCCCTACCTGGCAGTAATTTACCTTACGAGAATTACCTTACATTACCTCACATGTGTATATGTGCATACAGCTTACGTGCATGGGTGGGTGGGTGGGTGGGTGGGTGGGTGGGTGGGTGGGCGGGCGGGCGGGCGGGCGGGCGGGCGG